TTTCAATATTTGTGATAGAAGCTCTATGGTAGTTGCCATAGAAAAGGATGTTTGGAAATGCGGGGGAGACGTCAACACGTTTATTATCAATGAGCTGCATCTTTGATGTCAGAATTTTTTATTGCAAAATTGTGAATAACTATTTCAATGACAGAAAAAAAAAATGTTTATAAACTTCTGCTGTTCATATTTGTGATGAAAGAACTATTTATAAGCTTTGATTAAATCAAAATTACATTATTATCGTCTTGTACAATAATGATTTCTTATATAATACTGTATATTCGATTGTAGAGAAATCTTACTTCTGAAACAACTTAAAACTTTATTTTATTCTTATTGATCAAAAAGGTTTAAGTTACATACAAATTTATCATGTTAACACATTTTAACAGCAAATTAAGATTTTCAAAAATGCAGCTCATATTGCTTTAATATCTGAAATGAGAATAAAACAACCTTACATGTATGTGTTATAGAAAACGAAATTTATGTCAATTTTACGATTACTTGATCTTTTTTAAACGTTTGTGTGAGAATTTTACTGATTTTACTGTATTTAATTTATATTAGTTGAGTTAATCTTTAGATTGTTAGACAACGTCAAATTTCAGTCAAGTCACAAGTTTTGTGAAAATCCCGGGATCACTCTATCTTAAACGCGTATATTATTGACATAGGACTGGGAAAAAAGCATTTAGTTACTGGTTTTCCAATGCCGTAAGAAATTTAAGAAAAATAGAACTTCCATGGACGTTGATTAAAGGCGTGGCGCCTTTTGGAGCTCTTTAAGTGTTTATCCCCCTAGACAAATTAAAAGCGTAGATGGATGTTATCGGCTGACGTACTGTTCTTGACATTAATTGCTACTGAAATTGAAACATAATATTTAAAGATGGGGGAGTATTTTGAAATATGAGTGAAAAATGAAATTAAGGTGGTATGAGAAGATACCCAGGCTGTTCTTGAGAAAAAATGGAGAAAAAGACAGCATTTTGTAGTATTACGAATTCGAATAGGACATTAGGGTGAGATGCTGCTAAAACATGACGTGACATACCTAACTTGCGTTACGTAATAGTCTCCCCCGGGTTTCACAACTATCCATTTTCAAAAGGCTCATGTAACCTTATTGGTAATTGGAACGGGGTGACATTTTCCAATATTGTTGCATTATGACTTATATTATAAATATGCCTATTGTTTGTTTGTACATCAAATCACGATACAATTTTAGAAAGAAATTCCACGAACTTTTGGATCAACCCTCGTATAATTTAAGTAAACAGATTGCATACAAGGAAAAGGGATTATATAAATCCAAAACGTAATCACATACTAGTAGATCAAATAAAGAATATTTTATAGACCTCCTCTCTGCATGTTGATAATTTATGGCATCAGTCGCACATCTACTTTCCATAACGGTACCCCCAAAAAAGCCATCGGGGATTATAAATGTGACAAATTACGTTCCTTGTATGTTATAATTTAAAAGCATATAGAAGTCACGCACGGTGTTGATACACATTGATGTTACGTCAAAATAACGTTAAAAAGTCATAACGTTGTTATAACGTTTTGAACCTTATACGTGCATATTTTAGATCTTTCAATGAATTTTACTTTTCAAAAGTATGAAAAAAAAAATAATAAAAGGGCACATACATTGTAATGTTCAATGTTTGAACTTTCTTTTTTGAAATTAATAAATCTTAATAATAACATTTTAATTACTGAAATGCCAAAGGCACTCAGTGAATATTCCTCTTTCTACTTTTCTCACTTGTCTGTCTTATAAAGAGAAAATATATAAGTAGTATTCCCTATCAACCTCCTTCAATATTTTTTTCAGTTAGGTCATTACAAGTCTTTTATTTCTATATGGCGTCCGCATGCGCTTTGGGTGTATAGAGAAAAAAATGAGAGTTAATTTTTTTTTATACTTCCTACGTTTCAATGGAACTGGTGTCATTTTGAATTTAAAAAAAAAAGTATCAAATTAGTATATTGAGGGGATGAAAAAAAAAAGAGGGATGGGGACGTTTTACCATTAATGAAAATCTGGTTTTTCACGAAAATTCGTAAATCTTTTTACTATTTTTGGTGAGGGGGGGGGGGGGGCTCTTATAATGCATACTTCTTTTAGTAGGGTATTTTTGTGGAACGATATCATTTTGGGTTTTCATATTTTTTCCTTTGGTCGATGTACATATGATGATTAAGTGTAATAAATATAATTTGTGAAAAAATCTCCAACAAGCTCCGGGGTTGAATATCGGGGTGGGGTAGGGTGGTTCCTGCATGTCCACAAGTACCTGTGAGTTGATACTACGGACCTGCATGAAAAAAGCCAAAGTGATAATAATTTGACGCTCCCGACGTCATATGTACGCATTGCGTAAAATGACGTTTTTCGTACCTGTGACAAAATGGCTACACTTTTATTGATGCTTGCATTTATTTCATGTAGACCATTACTGTAAAGATTGTGTAATTAGTAAATGCAGCAGTAAATGTTCTTTCAAGCTACATACTTGATTGCTTTATATCTTACATTAACTCATATGTGTTTGATATGTTATTGAGACATATTAAGTAACAATACAGTGACTCGTGCGTGCATAACAAAATGGCTACACTTAAGAAAGCCTTCCTAATATTTACGTTGGAAAAGTAATATAAAATGTATCAATTCAATTAATCTAAGAAATATATGTACTAAAAGATTATTCATCAAAATCAATATTTGTCTGGGATTTATGTCTGCTACACATCTCCATTTCGGCTAATGTCAGTGTAAGGAAACGATTTTTATCTGTTGGACATTTTACTTACGCACTGTAGATCCAGTCTAAATTCATGACGTTGATAAACTGATGTTAAAAACTCAACAATATCTTAAAGAATGCATATATTTTATTGTACCCCCTAAGTTTCATTTAATTCAGAGACTTGTAAGTGCATTTTTTCATACCTTTTAGTTGCGCGAACAATAATTGATGTAACGTTAGACATGGGAATTTCGCCGTAAATGACCAATACCGAGTAACGCCTCATCATAGTTAAAATAATTTAAAATTATTTAAAAGACCATTTTAAAAATTATTCATTACTTTAGATAAAATAAATGATTTTATTTCTAATTTAAAGTAAATGTGACATCGCGAAACCGCCAATTTCTTTGCGAGATAAAAAGTTAGATATTATAGTACCAACACCGTGCGCAACGTCTATATATTAAACATTGTTCTTCAAGCATTTAAATGTTTCTTCATTAGATGCGAAAACAAACAAAGCAATAATCTGGGAAGCAGTATTTTTAGTTTTTTTTCTGCTGTGTAAAGTTATCGCCCATACAATTTTAAATTACATTCATTGAAATTTATAAATTAACAATCCTACGAAATTCAATTTAAAGTTAAAATTTCAATGTGGGATTGGAGAAAAGGGGGAGGGATTTGGGGGAGGGAGTGGGGAAGAGGGATTGGGAGATAGAAGTGGGGAAAGAGAGGAGAGGACACAGGGGTAGTCAGAGAGGGATGTTGAGAGAAAGAGATGTGGGAGGAGTTACAGGCATTAAATACTGTTATTTAACAAATTCATACAAAAACTTTAGTTGATTCTCTTATGTTTACAGACAAAAAAAAAAAGTAAAACAAAAAATTAATACTAGTATTTTTTGTTAATTTCAAAGGAATTTACAGATTAAAAAAGGTTTTATTAATCAGAGATATTTAATTTCATATGAGATGAGCTAAACAAAAGAAAAAAAAATTAATTAAGGGGAGACAGGGCACATTTCATATGACTAAAAAGACAGACTACGTCATAGTCGGTGATGATGTACGTGTTAAACGTTGTTAAAATAAACAGTTCTTGTGTAATTTTATTCTAAATTGTTTTTTAAACATTTAATTTTAGAAATTAATATTTAATTTTTTCAAAGGGCTAGTGAACATTTAGATATGTGAAATTGCCAAATCCCCACAATCGTTTCTCTTTATCCTGCAGTTTGACGTCAGTGACGTCATGGGCGTAGTGTTTGAAATTTCAGTGCAGCGAGATCAAGTACACACATAAGGTACACCCGTCATGATCAGTAATATTTCATAATAAACAGGTCACAGTCAATGTATCGTGGTAAATTTCTGTCAAGTCCTTCCCTGATGCCGGGTAGAACACCAAAAAAATGACCTCAGTGGACCGAGGGTCATTTCTTCGTTGAGAAATGATCCCTGGTCAATATTCTACGACAAGTAGAGTTATTTTCCATGCCGCTTATACTTCGAATCATGTTGAAAATAATAACCCCAAACCCCCTCTAATTTTTCATTGTATTATTTATAATAAACCCTTCAGATGTGATACACGTAAACCCCAGAGTTTTGGGGGGTTTGGCGAAGTCTAGAATTAATTAAATGCATCTCCCGGTCAGTTTTTTCCTTACTTTAAAATGTTAGTTGGCAAGTGAACAAAGTACTTTCCTCCTACATAAGTTAGCACCAGTCCTTAATATAGTCCCTCAACAAATGTTTAAAGAATTAATTTAGCTATTCATTTAGCATTTAACTATAATAGAATAATTAATAAAGGCGATTTTCTATTATTTTTACACGTAAATTTTATGTATCTAAATTTTTGCACCTGCTGTATAGTGCATAAATGAATTTTTGAAAGGTGCTTAAATAAAAGTGCAAAAATAGATCGTGCATCATGGAAAATTGTGCAAAAAATCGAAGTAAATTAAAAAAACATAAATAAGTAAAATTATTTAAAAATTCACTAAAAAATCAACCAAAAACAAAAAAACAAACAAAACAAAACACACACACAAAAAAAAAACAACAACCAAAAAACAAAAAAACCGAAGATGTGTTTGTGACACACTGATGCCCCCGTATGGCAACATAGCAGAGATTAAAATTTTTTTTAATGCAAATTTAATTCAAGTAGGTCAAACACCAAGGTCAAAGTTCTTCGTAGCCAATGAAGGGTCTTCTCAGAAGGATTATATAAGTGAGTATTAGATCACTAGTACTTAGCGTTCAAAAGTTATGGCCAATGTTAAAGTTTTTTCATATGTACAGAATCTCCAAGGTCAAGGTCAAGATTATTGGTATTCAGTGAAAGGTCCTGCCACATAGAATACATATGTAAAGTATTGAAGCCCTAGTCCTAACCGCTCAGAAGTTATGGCCAAGGTAATTTCAGTCTTTAAAGTAGATCAAACTCCAAGGTCAAGGTCAAAGGGTCAAAAGTCTTGCTATCAAATAAAAGGCTTTGTGACAAGAATTAGATATTTAAAAAATTAAAGTATTAGCCATAATCCTTGAAAGTTATGGTCAATGTTTGCTTTTTTTCAGTAGGTCACTTTCCAAGGGCAAAGAGTCAAAGTTCTTGGTATCCAATGAAGGGTCTTTTCACAAGAATTACACATGTGAAGTATGAAAGGCCTATCCCTCTCTGTTCAAAAGTTATGGCCAAGATTAAAGTTTTTTCACAAGTATCGAAATCTCCAAGGTCAAGGTCAAAAGGTCAAATTCGTTGGTATCAAATGAAAGGTCTTGCCCCAAAGAATACATATGTGAAGATAAATGTCCTGGTTACAACTGATATGGTCAAAGTAAAAGTTAGGAATTTTTGTGTTAAAGTGGGTCAAACTCCAAGGTCAAAAAGGTCAAATTTAGTGGAACCCAAAGAAAGTTCTTGTCACAAGAAATACACATGTGAAAAATGAAAGTCGTAGCTCCACTAAATCAAAATTTATGGACAAGGTTAAAGTTTTTGGGGACAAACAGACAAACGGAGAGACAGACAGACACGACAAAAACTATATACCCTCGAAACTTCGTTGATGGGGGCATAAAAAAACAACATAATATTTACAATTAACAAACTGAAAAGTACAGTACAGGTAGTATTGCTCTTTGTTGTTCATGACTGGTCATTGATAGGTTGTGCAGTTAAAACTCAATCTCTTTAAATCAAAAACACACGAAGATTGAATTCTGAAAAATTCCAACAGCAAGCTGGAATGCAACTTCTCATAATATGTCTTTACTGTCTCATGATGAAGTCGTGTTCTCGCGAGAGTTGACACATCACACAAGGATGACACATGCAGGCCGCTGTGTTGTCGTCAATGATGCTTCCCTGAAATAGAGGGGAAATATAAACTTTTGGAGAGTGGTTAAAAAATTATTTTTATTGATCGAAAAATCAACTTTGATGTAGATAGCCAGATATAATGGAATTGTTTTACATATGTAAGGGGGACAATATAATAACAAAATCAGTTTTGCGCTAGAATCTACGTTAGTCTATATTTCTGGAATTCGCATGCTCCACTTCATGGTCGGACATTCTGAAAAAATTACTGTAGATGACTGTGCGATGACAATTTCGTTTTATCGTAAATATAAAAAAAATAGATATGATCTGATTTACATTAGCCTTGCCCGTCTGATTTGCGCAATATATACAAATGTATTTCGTATGTCTGTATGTAAATGTATAAAACGTACTAGTAACGTTGGTCTTATAATGTGAAGACTGTTCTTTGCACAAAAAGATCAGTTAATTCTAAAATTATTATAAATGCGTAGCTTTTATACTTTGATACCTTCCGGATACTTTAAATCGTGAACATTAATCATAGCGAACCAATTCTTTTGCTCAGTATTTGTAGAGAAACACAAGTAAAATTGATGCAAAGCATCAAATCGGTCGCAAACAAAATTTAGCGTTAAAAAAATTCTTTTACAATTTTCAAAGTGTCCATGCAGGAAAGCACGTCAAGATATTCAAAGGTGAAATAGTTGAATCTTTTTTTTTTATTTTAGGCTGTCTTCAAAGCAAAATAAAATTAATAATCAAATAAAATTAAAACAAATAGACATTTTACCGCATTTGCTTATAAATAGATTCATCGATGTAAAAAAGGTCAGCGATAAATGATAAGAATTTATTGTCATCAAAATGAAGATGTAGGTCTCTCAAGATGAACCACGTGTTGATGCCCTGGATCTTGGTCACGTGATAATGCCCATTGCTATGCTGCAAGGCGTAGTGCAAAATGTAGAAAAAATTCTATGTGTTAATTATTTGCAGCTGTAGAGCATGTTCAAAACATTTTTTACTGGTTGAATTTTTTCAATTTTTATTCACCATGCACTTTTCCACGTCATTATTATCCGGAAAATCATGACGATTTCCTTTCATATCTTATACTCTCCCAGTCCGGGGAGTATCTATTGTTAACTCTTTTTACATAACCATAAAATATCAATTATCTGATGAGAAATGATAATGAAATGAAACATAGTAGCCACAATCAAAACTAAGTTTAAAGCATTTTTAGCTCACCTGAGCCGAAGGCTCAAGTGAGCTTTTCTGATCAAAATTTGTCCGTTGTCTGTCGTCGTTGTCGTTGTCGTTGTTGTTGTTGTCGTTGTCGTCGTAAACTTTTCACATTTTCATCTTCTTCTCAAGAACCACTGGGTCAATTTCAACCAAACTTGGTACAAAGTATCCTTGGGTAAAGGGGAATCAAGTTTATTCAAATGAAGGGCCACGCGCACTTCCAAGGGGAGATAATTATGAATTTGTGAAAAATTAATGGCATTTTAAAAAAATCTTCTTCTCCAGAACCACTGGGCCAGGAAAGATGAAACTCATGTGGAAGCATCTTCAGGTAGTGTAGATTCAAGTTTGTTCAAATCATGACCCCCGGGGCAAGGGTGGGGCCAAAATTTCCGACCCAATTTTTACATAGGAATATATAGGAAAAATCTTTAAAAATCTTCTTCTCCAGTACCACTGGGCCAGGAAAGATGAAACTCATGTGGAATCATCCTCAGGTAGTGTGGATTCAAATTTGTTCAAATCATGACCCCCAGGGCAAGGGTGGGGCCAAAATTTCCGACCCAAGTTTTACATAGGAATATATAGGAAAAATCTTTAAAAATCTTCTTCTCCAGAACCACTGGGCCAGGAAAGATGAAACTCATGTGGAATCATCCTCAGATAGTGTAGATTCAAGTTTGCTCAAATCATGACACCCCGGGGTTAGGGCGGGGTAACAATGGCTGATTTAAGTTTTACCTAGGAATATATAGGAAAAAATCTTTAAAAATCTTCTTCTCCAGAACCACTAGGCCAGGAAAAATGAAACTCATGTGGAATCATCCTCAGGTAGTGTAGATTCAAGTTTGTTCAAATCATGACCCCTGGGGCAAGGGTGGGGCCAAAATGGCCGACCCTTGTTTTACACAGGAATCAGGGTTGGGGTCAATTACTTTGAAATGTAATTAAATACTTTCAAATACATTGATAATTTTATCAATTACTTACAATTACAATTACATTGATTTTTTCAAATGTAATTAATTACTTTCAATTACTTTGACAAATGTAATTAAATACATTTCAATTACTTCAGTTTTATTTAAAAAAATCTTGAGAAACATACCGTGAAGTATATATACAGGCATTAAGTACTGAAATTAGTGTTTCTACAGTTTTGACTTCATTTTAATCCGGTGCCAGACAACTCACCGACAGACAGGTCACCGACAAAAGTGAAAATCGCCGAATGGACAATTAACCGACAATAGTGTCGGCGAGTAGAAATTCATATAAAATAATTGTTAGATGTTGTGTTAAGTATTCAGATATAATAAACATAACCAAAGATATATATCAAAAACGTTTTTCTTTGTCTTTTTTGTATATCCATCATAATGATTGTTGGTCTTACGCATATGTATATATTGCTTCTCGTGAATCCGAGCAAGGTCATAGATCGGCAATATTGGGTGAGGTTTTTGATTTAATAATAATAAAAAAAAGATTTGAAAAGAATAAAAACGTTTATTCACATACATAAATTTCTCTGAATATTTTTTAAATTTCCATGTTTTATATTTTCTGTCGATGATACGCGTAAACACGTCTTTCGGTGACATGTCGTATCGGCGAGTTTTACAGTGTCGGTGAAAAAAGTGTCGGCGAGTTGTCGTTCGGTGAGTTGTCTTTCGGTCACCAGTCATAGACCCATTTTAATCATCATTAAATTTTCAAACACAGTATCACTTAAACAACATTTTTCAGATCTTAAGATTTTTAAATTCATCTACCGGTAGCTAGTTCCCTTGATTCATTTTTGGTACTAAATAAGATATTCTTTAATGTAAACTATTATTCAGTATGATTGTTCCTGGGTGTGAGAGGGGTGGTTTACACCTGAACAAAATTAGACTTAGTCCTTTACCTATTGCCATGGGCAGCTTGTCATGCTGTATAAACAAATGGGTCCCCAAACAACTTAAACAATATGAGAATTTAATTATTGCATAAACACAAGCTCATGCATCATAAAAAGAAACTTTACTAAACTTTCAGCTTGAAAAAAAGTAATTGAAATGTAATTGAAAAGTAATTGAAAATACATGCTATTTTTTAAAAATGTATTTAAATACATTCAATTACTTGTAATTGAAAGCAGGCTCAATTACAAATTACTTCCAATTACTTTGAAAAATGTAATTAATTACACTCAATTACAATTACTTTCTTCAATTACCCCATCCCTGACAGGAATATATAGGAAAATCTTTAAAAATCTTCTTCTCGAGAACCACTGGGCCAGGAAAGATGAAACTCATGTGGAATCATCCTCAGGTAGTGTAGATTCAAGTTTGTTCAAATCATGACCCCCGGGGCAAGGGCGGGGCCAAAATGGCCGACCCTTGTTTTACATATTAGGAATATATAGGAAAAATCTTTAAAAATCTTCTTCTCGAGAACCACTGGGCCAGGAAAGATGAAACTCATGTGGAATCATCCTCGGGTAGTGTAGATTCAAGTTTGTTCAAATCATGATCCCCGGGGCAAGGGCGGGGCCAAAATGGCCGACCCTTGTTTTACATATGAATATAGAGGAAAAATCTTTAAAAATCTTCTTCTCGAGAACCACTGGGCCAGGAAAGATGAAACTCATGTGGAATCATCCTCAGTTAGTGTAGATTCAAGTTTGTTCAAATCATGACCCCCGGGGCAAGGGTGGGGCCAAAATGGCCGACCCTTGTTTTACATAGGAATATATAGGAAAAATCTTTAAAAATCTTCTTCTCCAGAACCACTGAGCCAGGAAAGATGAAACTTATGTGGAATCATCCTCAGGTAGTGTAGATTCAAGTTTGTTCAAATCATGACCCCCGGGGCTAGGGTGGGGCCAAAATGGCCGACCCAAGTTTTACATAGGGATATATAGGGAAACCTTTTAAAATCTTCTTTTCAAGTTCTTCAAAGCTATGATTAGTGATACATGTTTTTATATGGAATCATCCTCAGGTAGTGTAGATTCTAATTTGTTCAAATGATGAACGCCTGAAAGGGGGGGGGGGATAAATTCAAGCCCGATGTGCTCAGGTGAGCGCTGTGGCCCCTGGGCCTCTTGTTTAAAAATATTTTACTCATGATTCTTATTGTTATCATTTGATAAATATTTTCCTGACCTAATGAAAAATAACGTCTTATTTCCCCATGTGCACTTTCTAACACAATCACAAATAGATCGGCCGCTGCTGCGGCCGATAATGACAATTATTTGATTGATTTCCAACTGACGATTCGCGAATAAAAGATGACGCGAATAATGTTTACAGTAATCTCGGATATGTTTTCCTAGCTTGTCAGAAGGCCCGAGATGATGCGATCGCTCAACTAGGTGCTCATCGGTTCTAGTGATCTCTTATTTTTCACCTAAAAATTTTAATTCATGTAAACTACAGAATGTTAAGCATTCGTTCTACGATAAATGGATCTATTCAGGGTATAGAAAAGATTTTTTTTAGAAAAGCTTCAAAGATCAAAATGATAATATTTCTCTAGAGTACATTTCAGTAAACTAAAAAAACAAAGAACTGTCCACTAATCTTTTTACAACAATTTCAATATTCCATAGATTTTAAGGTAATATTTTGTATAGATGAATTGATCGTTTCGTTTTTTATTAAGTTAAGAAATTACAGCGGTAAATTTGTTAGTGACTTAAAAATACTTAACTGTGCATGTTTTTTTTTTTGGAGAATGACTTTTGTTATTGCCTATGTGAAGCCTATTCTAAATTAACCATTCCGAAATGAGACATCCTCCACCGAAAACCAACCAAATCGTTTAGATGTCTATTTCTTTCTGTAGTTTACGATGGCTACAACAGTAGCTTACCTATCTTTATGAAAAGATAAGCTTGTTTACCCTTATATTATTTTGAGCCCTCATTTTGACCCTAAGAGCCAAAAGCCACGTGGTCCCCGGCAGGCAGATTGGAAGGCAGAAAGACTCGCCCAGTTTGTCGGACAAATAGCAGGGATAGCAACATCCGCCACACAGAAGCACTCCAATGCCTGAAATTGTAAGAGGATTTTTATGCCCCCGTAAACGAAGTTTCGGGGATATATAGTTTTTGTCGTGTCTGTCTGTCTGTCTCTCCGTTTGTCTGTTTGTCCCCAAAAACTTTAACCTTGCCTATAACTTTTGATTTAGTGGAGCTATGACATTCATATTTCACGTGTATTTCTTGTGACAAGACCTTTCTTTTGGTACCACCTTTTGACCTTGACCTTGGAGTTTGATCAACTTTAACACAAAAATTTTGAACTTTTACTTTGGCTATATCTTTTGAACAATAGATACCAGGACATATATATTTGACATATGTATTTTTTGTGGAAAGACCTTTCATTATATACCAACAACCTTAACCTTTTGACCTTACGTACATATAAAAAACTTTAACCTTGGACATAACTTTTGAACAATAAGTACTAGGGCTTTCATACTTCACATATATAATCCTGATGAAAAGACCTTCCATTTAATACCAAGAATATTGACCCTTTGACCTTGACCATGGAGTTTGACTTACTGTTTACAAACTTTAACCTTGACCATAACTTTTGAACAGTAAGGGCTAGAGCTTTCATATTCTACATGTGTAATCCTTGTGACAAGGTCTTTCATTGGATAGCAAGAATCTTGACCCTTTGACCTTGACCTTGTAGTTTGACCTACTTTTTGCAAACTTTAACCTTGACCATAACTTTTGAACGGTAAGGGCCAGCGTTTTCATACTTCCCACACGTAATCTTTGAGACGATGCATTTCTTTCGAACCCAACAACCTTGACCCTTTGACCTTGACCCAGAGTTTGTCCTATATTATAAAATATTAACCTTGGTCATATCCCTGGAACAGGTGTAGCTAGCTTTTATATTTCTTGTGAAAAGGCCTTACTTTGGTACCAACATATTTGATCTGCATTTGAGAAAGCTTAACCTTCGCTATGTTGCCATACTGGGGGATCAGTGTTTCACAAACACATCTTGTTTTTTCGATCGAAACACATTCCATTGAAAGTTTTTTTTTTGGGAGGGGGGGGGGCATTCTTCCAATTTTTTGCAAAGCGTAGGTACAGGAAAAAGTAAACCTATCGATACACTTTTGGAAAAAACCCAGATGGACACTGATTGATACATTATATTAAATGCATATGGAATGGAACTTTTTTAAATAAAAAGATGGAAAAAAACAAGCATAGAAAAACAAAAAAAACAATCCTTTTACAATAAGCTGTCAAGAAATTTGAATTAATCAAGTCTACAAGGTTAATTTACATGTTATTAAATCGTTTTCCATTCATATACAGTGTACTGGTATCCGAGAGAAAAAAATAACTTGAGTATTCGTGAAACACGAATTATGAAATGACATACAGGAGGGTAGGTCGGAGAAGCAGCCCAACATCCCGGTATTCCAATCCCGGCCCAGAGGTCGGACCGGGTTCTGTTGATTGATAACAACGGTAGTGTTCGATTGGGTATGCTGAAAGGAGAAGTAATTGTACATACCCATCCAAACATTAATAGAGAAAATCAGCAACAGCTACAGCAAAACATGATTGTTGTTGTAAGAATAGAAAAAAGATAATGAAATAAAATAATTAAATCTTTTATCTGATTTTTTAAATCTTTTTTTGATGACCATTGTTAAAATATTTTTACTAGTGGGTAAAAATTGTTTGGCAGGATTAAAAATCGATTTTAAAGAAACCAACAAAATAAAGTTTTTATTCATTTTATTTTATTTTTGGGGTGGGTGGGAGTTTGAATATAAATTCAATTCAAATTTTGCACAAACTGTGTACAGTACCAACCTGAATTGGTGGAGGTTGTTGAGTAACCGGTTCGATCCGGTTGTATCCATAAGCTGGCGGAGGATCCGTCGAATTAAGGCCATAACCTGCGAATCAAAAATGTCTTTTTTTTAATGCAAAATTACTATTTGCGGGTTTATTTTAATAATCAATTGTATTCGATGTATTCGATTGATTGATTGATTGTATATTGTTTAACGTCCCTCTCGAGAATTTTCACTCATATGGAGACGCCACCACTTGCCGGTGGTGAGCTGCAAATTTTGTCCTATGCTCGGAACTTAGGGCCATTGAGCAGTGAGGGTTCTTTTTCGTGAAAGCACCTACTGCGACATGGAGCCTCGGTTTATACAGTCTCATCAGAAGGACCGGTCTCCACGTCCTACAGTGGGATTCGAACCCGCAGCATAAGGATTGACTACTTACTTCGAGACTCTAGAGCAGACGCTCTAACCACTGCGCCACGCAGTCGACAAATTGTATTCGATGTGAATGACAAGAGCATTGGGGCCTTTTAAAAAAGTTGAGCTTGGTATAGTTTTTTTTTTCGAATTTACGTGCAACTAGATGTTTGCTTCTCTGAAAGCCTTCAGGATTTATTCCATAATGTATTGGTTTTTATGCCCCCGTAAACGAAGTTTCGGAGGGTACTGCCTATATATATAGTTTTTGTAGTATCCATCCGTCTGTCTGTTTCTTTGTCCACAAAAACTTTAACCTTGCCAATAACTTTTCACTAGGTGGGACTATGCTTTCAAAATTTCACAGGTGTATTCCTTGTGACAAAACCTTTCTATGGGTACCACCAAATTTGACCTCTTGATCTTGACATTGGAGTTTGACATACTTTTACATAAATTTTCCAAATTATAACCTACTTGGCCATGACTTAAGAACGTTAAAGTCTAGGGTTTTCATAATTCACATATGTTATCCTTGTGACAAGACCTTTCATTGGATATCAAAAACTTTGACCTTTTGACCTTGACTTTCGAGATTTACCTACTTTTAAAAATTTTTAACCTTTGCAATATTTTATGAACGGTAAGGACTAGGGCTTAATGCTTTATGAAAGGTCAAGGTTAAATGTTGTTGGTTTCTAAAGAAAGACCTAGTTACAATGATTACAAATGAGATGTATGAAAGTCGTAGCCCTAACCGTTTAAAAGTGATGGCCAAGGTTAAAGCTTTTGTTCTAAAGTATGTCAGGCTCCAGGGTCAAGATCAAAAGTTCAATGTTGTTGGTATCGAATGAAAAGTCTTACCACAAGAAATAAATATTTAAAGTATAGAAGTCGTAGTTCTAACCGGTCAAAAGTTATGGCTAAGGTAAATTATTTTTAAAAATAGTTCAAACTCTAAGGTCAAGGTCAAAGGGTGAAAGATCTTGATCTTGAAAGATCTTGATTTTTTTTCGAATTTACGTGCAACTAGATGTTTGCTTCTCTGAAAGCCTTCAGGATTTATTCCATAATGTATTGGTTTTTATGCCCCCGTAAACGAAGTTTCGGAGGGTACTGCCTATATATATAGTTTTTGTCGTATCCATCCGTCTGTCTGTTTCTTTGTCCACAAAAACTTTAACCTTGCCAATAACTTTTCACTAGGTGGGACTATGCTTTCAAAATTTCACAGGTGTATTCCTTGTGACAAAACCTTTCTATGGGTACCACCAAATTTGACCTCTTGATCTTGACATTGGAGTTTGACATACTTTTACATAAATTTTCCAAATTATAACCTACTTGGCCATGACTTAAGAACGGTAAAGTCTAGGGTTTTCATAATTCACATATGTTATCCTTGTGACAAGACCTTTCATTGGATATCAAAAACTTTGACCTTTTGACCTTGACTTTCGAGATTTACCTACTTTTAAAAATTTTTAACCTTTGCAATATTTTATGAACGGTAAGGACTAGGGCTTAATGCTTTATGAAAGGTCAAGGTTAAATGTTGTTGGTTTCTAAAGAAAGACCTAGTTACAATGATTACAAATGAGATGTATGAAAGTCGTAGCCCTAACCGTTTAAAAGTGATGGCCAAGGTTAAAGCTTTTGTTCTAAAGTATGTCAGGCTCCAGGGTCAAGATCAAAAGTTCAATGTTGTTGGTATCGAATGAAAAGTCTTACCACAAGAAATAAATATTTAAAGTATAGAAGTCGTAGTTCTAACTGGTCAAAAGTTATGGCTAAGGTAAATTATTTTTAAAAATAGTTCAAACTCTAAGGTCAAGGTCAAAGGGTGAAAGATCTTGATATGAAATGAAGGTCTTGTCACAAGGATTAAATACTTTAAGTATGAAAACACTAGCCCTTACCCTTCAAAAATTATGGTCAAGGTTTGTTTTTTAAAAGTAGGTCAAACTCCAGGGTCAAAGTTTTTGGTATCAAATGAAGGATCTTCACACAAGAATTACATATGTGAAGAAAAAAGCCCTTGCCCTAACCGTTCAAATGTTATGACCAAGGTTAGGTTTTTTCATAAGCACGGAAATCTCCAAGGTTAAGGTCAAGTGGACAAGTTTGTTGGAATCCAATGAAAGGTCTTGCCACAAAAAATACATATGTGAATTATGAAAGTTCTGGTATCTACAGTTGAAAAGTTATGGCCAAAGTAAAAGTTTGGAATTTAGATGGAATATACTTATGAAAAACTTTAATCTTAGCCATAATTTTTTAACGGTTAGGGCTAGGGCTTTCATGCTTCAGATATGTTTTTTTGTGACAAAACCCTTTATTGGATATTAAGAACTTTGACCTTGACCTTGGAGTTTATAAAAACAAATCTTGACCCTAACTTTTGAAGGGTTAGGGCTAGGGCTTTCTTACTTCACATATATAATCCTTTTGACATGATCTTTCATTTCATATCAAGAACTTTGACCCTCGACCTTTACTTTGGAGTTTGACTTTCTTTTAAAAAACAAACCTTGAACATAGCATGAAGGGTTAGGGTCAGGGTTTTCATACTTCACATATTTAAACCTTGTGACAAAACCTTTCGTTTTATCATATGACTCTTAGACCTTGACCTTGGAGTTTGACCCACTTTCAAAAACTTTCCTTGTTAAGAACCAACAACGTTGACCCTGTGACCTTGGAGTTTGACCTACTTTTTCAAAAATTTATCCTTTACTACTATTTTATCAGGTCTTGCTAGGGCTTTGATATTTGACATTGTATTACTTGTTAGAAGACCTACTTTGGGTACCAATATATTTAATTTGCATTAAAGAAAAGTTTTATCTTCGCTATGTTGCCATACGGGGGCATCAGTGTTTCACAAATAAATACATTTTGTTTTTATGCCCCTGTAAACGAAGCTTCGGAGGTATATAGTTTTTGTCGTGTCCGTCCGTCCCTCCGTCTGTCTGTCTCTTTGTCCGCAAAACCTTTAACCTTGCCAATAACTTTTGACTAGGTGGGACTATGGCTTCATGTTTCACAGGTGTATTCCTTGTGACAAGACCTTTCTTTGGGTACTACCAAATTTGACCTCTTGATCTTGACATTGGAGTTTGACATACTTTTACATAAAAATTCCAAATTATAACCTTGGCAATAACTTTTTATTTAGTGGAGTTATGACTTTCATATTTCACATGTGTATGCCTTGTGACAAGATTTTTCTTTGGGTACCACCGAATTTGACCTCTTGACCTTGACGTTTGACCCACTTTTACACAAACATTCTTAACTTTTACTTTGGCTATATCTTTTGAATAGTACCAGGACTTTAATATTTCACAAATATTTTTTATGTCAGGATTTTTCATTGAATACCAAAAACTTTGACCTTTTGACATTGGAGATTTTCGTACTAATGAAAAAACTTTAACCTTAGCAATAATTTTTGAACGGTAAGGGCTAGGGATTTCATACTTCACATATGTAATCCTTGTAAGAAGAAGCTTCATTAGATACCAGGCCAAGAACTTTGACCCTTTGACTTGACCTTGGATGTTGTGTTACTTTTAAAATACAACCTTGAACATATTTTTAAGAATGAAAACTAGGGCTTTCATACTTCAGATATTTAATCCTTGTGGCAAGACCTCTCATTTGATAACAAGAACCATGTCCCTTTGACCTTGACCTTGTAGTTTGACCCGTTTTTACACAGAAAAAAACTTTTTAATTTAGCCCTAATTTTTTAAACGATCAATACTAGCCGGAATTTCATATTTCAACAAGATTTGTTTGTGAGACACTGATGCCCCGTATGGCAACATAGCAAAGATTATACTTTTCTTAAATGCAAATTTAATATATTGTTACCAAAAGTAGGGTATTCTCACTGGAAATACAATTGTGAAATATGAAAAGTAGGCTAAGGTTAAAGTTTTTTCATAAGTACGGAAATCTCCGAGGTCAAGGTCATTGGTATCCAATGAAAGGCCAAAAAAGGACATATGTAAAGTATGGAAGCCCTAGCCCTAACCGTTCAGAAGTTATGGCCAAGTTAAAAGTTTTAAGAGTAGGCCAAACTCCAAGGTCAAGGTCAAATGTCTTGCTATCAAATGAAAATTCTTGTCACAAGGATTAAATATGTAAAGTATGAAAGCACTAGTCCTTAACCTTTAAAAATAATGATGAAAGGCTTGTTTTTTGTTAAAAGTAGGTCAAACTCCTAGGTCAAGGACAAAGGGTCAAAGTTCTTGATATCCAATGAATGGTCTTTTCACAAGGATTATATTTGTGCAGAATTAAAGCCCTAACCCTTACCTTTAAAAGTTATCACCGAGGTTAAATTTTTTTCACAAGTATAGAAATCTCTAAGGTCATGGTAAAGGTCAAAAGGTCAAGTTTGTTAACGTTGGTATCCAATAATAGGTCATTCAATAAAGAATACATATGTGAAGTATTAATGTTCTGGTATCTGCTGTTCAAAAGATATGGCCAAAGTAAAAGTTTGGAATTTTTGTGTAAAAGTAGATCAAACTCCAAGGTCAAGGTCAAAAGGTCAAATTTGGTGGTACCCAAAGAAAGGTCTTGTCACAAGAATTACACATGTAAGTTATGAAAATCATAGCTCCACTAAATCAAAAGTTATGGACAAGGTTAAAGTTTTGCGGACAAACAGACAGACAGACAGAGAAACGGACAGACGGTCGGACACGACAAAAATTATATACCCCAACACTTCGTTTACCGGAGCATAACAAGATGTGTTTGTGAAACACAGATGACCCCGTATGGCAACATAGCGAAGGTTAAGCTTTCTCAAATGCAGATCAAATATATTGTGTTTCATTTGAAATCAAGACTTTTGATCATTGACCTTGACCTTGGATAATTCCGTACTTACGAGAAAACTTTAACCTTGACCATAACTTTTGAACGGTAAGGGCTAGGGCTTTTATACTTCAAATATGTAATCCTTGTGAGAAGACCTTTCATAGGATATCAACAACGTTGACCCATTCACTTTGGAGTTTGATCTACTTTTTAAAAACTTTAACCTTGGCCATAACTTTCGAACATAACTTTAACTCTTTGACCTTGACTTTTGTTTTTTGACCTACTTTTTACAAACTTTAACCTTGGCAATAACTATTGAACGGAAAGGACCAGGGATTTCATTCTTTCCAAATGTAATATTTGAGACAAGGTTTTTTTTTTTTTTTTTTTTTTTTTTTTTTTTATAAACCAACAACCTTGACCCTTTGACCTTGTAGGTGTTTGTCCTACATTTAAAAAACGTTTACCTTGGTCATAACCTTTGAACAGGCGGTGCAAGGGTTTTATATTTCACATTTTTTTTTTAAAAAAAGGCCTTTCTTTAGGTACCAACATATTTGATCTGCATTTGAGAAAGCTTAACCTTCGCTATGTTGCCATCTGTCTTTCACAAACACATCCTGTTTTTTTTTCTTTAAAAATTCCACTTATACTGGCTTTGTATCACTGCCTTTACAAGATAAAGATGCAAATGTGTAAAAAAGATATATTATTTACAAAGATGAATTAACAATATTCATTTTCAAAAATGATTACGGCAATGGTCGATGTGTATAATTACTCTCTCCATGCAAAATATTCCATCGCCTTATCAATGATTTAAATACAAAACAACACAATATCACCACCAACAACAACAACAACAAAAATTGAAACAGGAAAAACAAACTAATGAATCAAAAACAAAATAACCTCAAAATAATAGCAATCAAAACCAGCCCTTCAAGTACATCATGCAGGTTTTTCATAATTTTTATCATTTCATATTTACCATGTTTTCGTCGAAATAATGTTTCAAAAATTTTTTGAACTAAAAATAATTTCTTAAAGATAAAAAAAAATTATTTTCACATTTGAATCACTGAGATGTAACCATAAGATAATTAAGGAAGATGGACAAGAGTAAAATGAAATATCGTAATGCTCTGCTCCCTGTCCCCTGATTAATTTCCTTACCGGTCACGTGACTTTGTCCGGATTCCATTTTCTTCTTGAAATAGGCTAGAAAATATTCTTGATTCAGAATATCAGATACTAAAATTTCAATCTAAAACGCCCTATGGTGCATATGAGAAAAAATTACTAAATTGTCCACCAATTCTTTCATTTATTCACTAGTCAACAATGCTCTTATTTATACTCGATATCTTTTAAAAAATTAACAAACAAATGAACAATTATTTGTTTTATTTGTTGTTAATCGGTTGAAAATTTTTCTTTGTTTTGTTTATATAAGAAAGAACCTATGCACAGACGGGGGCTCTTGTCAATTTTTGGTTCTCCCCGGCTGATTTTTTTTTTGACATTTAACCCTACAAAAGACACTTTTTAGATTTGCAACAGAATATTAGTATCTAAAGGAATTGAAAAAAGATATGAATATAGATAGCGTTGGATTTTTCGGGGCTTTAAACAAAATCTATTGAAATGCACATTGTCATGCGAATAAAAAAAAAGTACTGCGGCATATGTAATCTAGTGTGCACTTTGTGATAAAAGCACCATTTTTTTTGCACAATTATAGACATTCACAATATATAAAGGATACATGTATATTGGGCCATCGCAGAATCAGGCCATGGCAAAATGGCCTCCAGAAATTAAGTTTATGGTTGACATTTCCTTATTTCGTTCAAAGACTTCACCTAAATATTATCATGGTTTAAGATTATAAAATTACTATTAATATAGTAATTAAAATTAAAAGAGTTTCATAATTTTAATAAAATATATGCATGCTATTTCATAAGATGAAGCAAAGAAGTAAACAATCATTGAATTCAATAAATATTTCGCTATACGCCCCAAGTGGTAACAATTATAATATTCTCAGTGCTGTGATAAAAAAAACAAAAAAAAAAAAACAAAACAAAACTCGAGTTACGTCATACATTATGACGTCACAATCAGAGATCACGTGTTATCACAATCGTTGTCAATGAGCTGTGTTGATGAACTAAAGTGAAGATCTAATAAGATGATCGTTACAATGCATCTAGTTTTTTTCTCTCTGCCCAGTGGACTTACAAATGGGTGACATCGAAAATTCAAGGTATCGTTTTACACCTCTGTTTAGATTTCGGATAGAGTGCAATGTCTGGAAAACATTTCTCTCTTTGTGAACTTAGAGATGATTTAAAAACTTAGAAGGGGAACACTTTTATACTTTACAACATTTATGCATTCTCTTTTATAATCAATTGGTTTTAAAATAACCGCCCCTAAAATGGAAAGTCGTACATGTCTAGGTCTATTTTTTAAACATTTTAATAACATGTATTTTTGAGTCTCCAGAACATACACAAAATTCTATTTTTTTCCTAAAGAAATGAAAACCAACAAGGAATCTGTGGACATGGCACCAAGTACAGATGTAGATGCCGTTCCACAATCCACCCCAGGAGCAACCAACAGCACCGCAGTCACCCCTAAGGCCCCTCCATCTTCTGACACCTACTGTGGTTTCCGCCGTGGGTTCCTATTGTAAACTCAAGATTTTAGTACCTACGTTTGACCAATTTATGGAGAACAATTTGGTTTTTATTTCTTATACTTCACGCGGAGCCATTATGTTTATCGAACAAGAAAATCTAAGATAATCGCCAGCTGTTTTAAAATGGAGGATTACAGTAAAAAAAATTAAAAGACAATACCATCGATGTTTAAGCAATATTTTTTTTTCAATTTCAATGCCGCTTTGAAGCAGTGAATCGCAAGGATGACACACAATGAAAATTTAGCCAAAGTTGCTGGACAGACCTACTCAGCTGAAAAGTTACATGTGTTCTAGCCACTGCCAAAGGATGCATTGTATAACATACTTCTACTGCCTTGTAAAAAAAATTCATAAAAATTCATTTAGATTATTGTGAAGTTAAACAACACCTCCCATCCTACTAAAGCTACTCAATGAGTGAACAAACACAAACAAAAGCTCACTTTCATTAAGTGAGCTGGGCTGTTGTTCCTTAAGCTTATTGTCAACATCATGTCAACTCCAAGGTTGGGTGATTTGGTCGAGTGATTTTTGGACCAGGATTTTCCCCTCAATTTATCTTTATCAATACATTAAGAATTAAAGTAAAATTAAATTACTGTAGAAGTACTTTCTTCCGCGTGGTATTAATTTACGCTAAGTACGCGGTCACACATTTTCCGCGGATATTTGTCCAAGCGTACTTAACATAAATGTAAGGCATATAGTGACAATCTAGAAAACCCTTGTAATTTTCTACCCGCGGATTAAACAGAAATTGAGATTCCGCGGAATTATGACCCCGTGGAAAAAAATACGTCTACAGTAATTTTATTATGTTTAAATGTACAATGTATTTATAACCATTTATGGTATTTTAAACTTCTTACTTTTTTTAATTGAATAAACACATGCATCGACTCCATTATTGCTCATTAAACCTTTGTTGACTGAATTGGATGATGTTAAATGAAAATATTCTTTTTGAAACAAACTATGAGGGTTGTTCAATAAATCATGCAAATTGTCATTAGAAATATCATTAGAAGAGGGAAAAAAGTCAAAAATATTTATACCAGCACCTACTGTTCATGGGTAATGGCAAAGGATAAAGATTTTTGTTTTTGTTTTTTTGAATAAGTGGACCAAGGTCAAGATATCAAATATGGTGGTACCCAAAGAAAGGTCTTGTCACAAGTAATACATCTGTTAGATATGAAAGCAACAGCCCTATCCGGTAAAATGTTATGGGCAAGGTTAAAGTTTTTATGGACTAACAGATAAACAGACAAATAGGTGGACAGGGCAAAACCTATATACCCCGGATCTTCGATTATGGCTGCATAAAAACAATGCAGACAAGCCTATTTTAGATTTGTTTCTTATGGTGGCATTATTATGCAAGATAAATGTTGACATTGGAGAAAGGCATGTCAACATGCAAGACATGGTAACATAATTTATCTTACATACATGTAGGGGGAGGGAAGATAGCTTCACCATAACTTCTGTATCAAGAAATGTATCCAACTGTGTAAATGATTGACAACACGTCTCTATCATGTGTTAAAGGTATTAAAAAAATTCAAACCCTGAACTTCATTTTGTATGACATAAAAAGTTCAATAGATAAAGGACTTTTATGTTATGTAAAATCGTTATATACAGGTTCTAGATAGGATTATTTAACAACAACGCGCATAGTATGCATCATTCAAGAACTTAAATTGTTTCGTTTTTAAAATATGCAAGTCTATGATGATTAAAAACCCCCTTCCTTAAAGGCTTGTAAATCCCGATGAGACGATGAAACAAAAAGTCATATAGCCCAATCACTTAATCACGTATCCTTTTGTTTCTCTGTAATATATAGACTAAATATGATAATTTTAAAAATATATATACAAAACAATAAAATTAATCCACACGAATTATTTTTTAGATCTTTCCATAAACAACATAAACGCACCTACATTTTTAAAATCTCGGATGAAAAAAATATTTCTGTTGTTAAAACAACGTCATTGACCTTAAAAAAATTGTCTTTATTAACATAAACAGTTTCTTTTCGTTAAATTAAAAGGGCTAAAAATATAAATGTCTAAAATAAAAAACAAATTTAAAATTTTTTTTATTACAATCAATATATGATCTGACGATTGATTTTACTCCAGTGAAAAAAAAATCCTTGGAAAAATATCATAAATAGTTTTTTTTTTTACAACTAAGCAAATTTCAAATCAAAGACAACTGAGGTCAAGGTCACAGGAAAGTGGAAGGTCAAAAGTGTTCGATACAGCTCACTAAAAGATAATGTCATCTTGTTATGGTTATTTCCTGGTCAAGCTGGATGTGATCGTGCTCACGTGACAGTTGACACCATAATACCATACAGCAATCCTCACAGATACTGCCCTGGATAATTAACAGATAATGCATTACTTAATAATTATTCACTTTTTCTTAGCATTTGAGTAATTAGACATTGTTTTGATTTGTCCCCAATCAAACAAGGTCTCTGTATTAGGATAACACCCCTCCCCCCTTCGTAAAAATTTGGAACTGAAATGACTGGATTTCAAAGTGATTGAAAACAAAAGCTTACGGCTATGTTGTTCTCTGATCTTAGTTTTGTTCTTAGAGGGACAAAGGACTGGAATCCTGGCATAGCGCAGGGCAGACAGCACGACTCCCCAAGTTTACTGGACAAGTGGTATATACCGGGTATTCAGTACAAAACGTCACTGCGCAACCTTTTATCAAAATATATAATAGGTAATTAAACAAAATGACCATCATGAATTTCAGTATGATTCCATCATTCGATGAATCTACTATTTTGAAGAAAGTTTAATCAAATTTCGAAATAGATCATACATGAAGACATATCCTCGAAACAACCACAAATGCCGGTACTCCAATCTCTTTTCTTAGGACGAGTTGCTACTGGTTGCTGTTGCTGAACAACCACTGTTGTGTTGCTCGTGTGTTACATGAAATTTAATGAAAAAATAAAAGGGACATTGAAGTGTAATACCCATCATTTATATCGAAATGGTCATAATTCAGGATTTTAGATACTAGTAACAGTTTGTGTGAACTTTTTAAAATGTTATGTTTGTCTCTCATGTCAACTCAATTTTACAAGATAAAATAGATGAAAAGATTCATTTATCTATATCATCTGACAGTGGTACTGGAGACATGTGAAAGGTTATCACACCGAGTAGAAATGTAGTTCTGCTTCAAATCTTGCATAATTACATGTACGTCAAATTGCTTACGTATCCAAATGGCTGTCCCATCTGTGGCTGGCCTGTTATCGGCATAGAACCAGGATGCCCTGGGTACTGAGGGCCGTGGTACCCTTGGTGGGGTGGGCCATTGTATCCAGGAGGGCCTTGGTCGTAAGGTTGGACTTGATTTTGCATTGGGAAGGACGTTGCGCGAGGAATTCCCCTCCTTTCTAAATCAAAAATAAATAAATATAATGAAAAAAAGTTGGATATAATTTTTAAAAAAAAATGTATGTTCAAATATATATTATTGGACTATTTCTCAACAAATTATCTGTTTGTCCTGTCTCACAGACTGACCAAAAATGACACGACTCATTCTTTTCCCCCAACCCCCAAAGCTCCAAGCAAGAATTTTTTTTTTGCATTAATCCGGAATATAATAATGCTTTCAATTCTAAAATTAAATATTTTTTTTAAAGAAATCGACCTAAAAAATTGTCTTTTATTTGCAGGGACGTGGCATTAGGGGCTAGGGGGATGTTTATGGAAAGGCTGGTTGCCCCTACCCCCCCTTCAACTTTTTGTGATATAACGAAAATGTAGTATTATAGGTAAAAAAAATTGAATTTTACTGAAGGAAATTGGCATTAATAAAAGTTGGCCTCTATTCAAAAATCAATATATTTGCTTTTGTTATGTGGCTCAGTAGATTTTTTGCAGTTATTACTTAAATTAATGAATAAAAGCTGCATGGGCAGTTCATGGTCCACTGAGGTTTAAGGATGTGCTGACGTTCATTTTTACGGAACTCCTCGAGTTTTATCCAGCAAAATAATTATGATACCCCCCCCCTCCCCCTCCTGAACTATTCACATTTTGAATCTTTGTCGCTTTGAGTCTTCTGAAAAATTATAAAGAAAAGTTTAATTATAGATAATATTTTTTCAGATAAAAAAACTTTTTCATTCATTGTCTATGAAATATCCAAAGAAGTCTGGTTTCCCACCATATTTTCAATATATCTCAAAATATGCTCATCAGCTCATATATTTACTTCTTTTATATCAAAAAATGAATGCATCAACTTTAAGTCCCCAGCTGAAACGTTTCATGCATGTTATCACAACAGAAATCGTCCTCCATAATCTCTTTATCTTGTGTATTCATGGTCTGGATACAAAATACTTACTAGTACGTGTAAACATGCATTTCGTTTAAAAGATACTTAACCTTTGTAATACTTTATCTAATATCATGTTATAAATTGATTAAAAAGAATAAGGGGCATATACCCAATAATGTAAATTGATACTTATGTTTCCAAAGTTCAGCAAAAGGCCGTCGTAATGTAATCGTCATTGTGTGAGAGCAGACATACAATGAAATCTCCTCAGGCACTTGGGGTATGCCACCTCCCCCCCCCCTTTTTTCTTTTTAAATCTGGGATTGAGTCACCTTTTTCCTATTTTGTATTCTAATATTAGCTCTTCTGAGCCAAAGGCTCAAAGAGCTAATGCTATGGCCATTTGTGCGGTGTGCGTTAACTTTTTAGAATATGGGCCATAACTCAAGAACCCCTTGGCCAATCAGTGTCGAATTTGTCACAGGGTATCCTTGGCCCAAGGGCTACTATTTATACTAAAATAAGGATTGGGACCCTAAAACAAGGGGAGATAATCAGGAAAACAAAACCAAAAGTACTAGTTGCTAAAAAAATCTTCTCCAGAACCACCAGGCAGATTTTCACCAAACTTACATACAAGGATCAGGATATGTTGAAAATTAAAAATTGTTCAAGGCATGACCCTTGGGCAAAGGGCGTGGTCTCAAGGTCTCTTTAAAGTTGACCTAAATTTACAATTAATAAAAATGTTTATATTTTGCTTACTATAAGGACTAGGATCATCAAATCTTGTAAGTTGATGCATCTTAGGACTTCACATCATGTTAACTCAAAAGTGGGTCACGGTGACTTACTTTTTTAATTTTGCGGGCATTTGTTTTCAACTTGATTTCAAGGCATATTTTGGACATTTTAAGGCCTATGATCATCAAACTTTGTCAGTTGATGCATCTTGGGTCCTTGAACAACGTCATCTTAAAAGTAGGTCACCGTGACCTACTTTTTGAACTTTATGACTTATCCTTTTTAAAACATTTAATCCCATTATTTCAGACACTGAGAGGGTTAGAATCATCAAATCTTGTAAGTTGCTGCATCTTGGGACCTTTTAAAACTTATTTATGAAAAAGTAGGTCACTGTGACCTACTTTTAGAATTTTGCAGGCATTCGTTTTCAAATTGTTTAAAAGGCATATTTTGATTACCTTCAGACCTACGATCATCAAACTTGGTCAGCAGATGCATCTTGGGACTCTGAAAAATGTCGACCAAAATGTAGGTCACGTGACCTACTTTCGACATTTTATGGCTATATTTAAGTATCTTTGGTATTAATTGGCTTCAAATCATCAAACTTTGCGAGTTGATGCATCATGGGTTTTCGGAGAGTGACGACCAAAAAGTAAGTCACGGTGACCTACTTTTGACATTTTATGGCTATATTTAACGGTACTTATTGGCTTAGAATCATCAAACTTTGTCAGTTGATGCATCTTGGGACTCTGAAAAATGTCAACCAAAATGTAGGTCACGATGACCTACTTTTGACATTTTATGGCTATAAGTATCGCCAGTACTTATTGGCTTAGAATCATCAAACTTTCTCATTTGATGCATCTTTGGTTTTCGAAGAATGTCGACCAAAAAGTAGGTCACGGTGACCTACTTTTGACATTTTATGGCTTTATTTAAGTATCTCTGGTACTTATCAGTTTAGAATCATCAAACTTTGATCGTTGGTGCCTCTGGGGTTTTCAGAGAATGTCGACCAAAAAGTAGGTCACGGTGATCTACTTTTGAATATCTCAGGTATTTATTGGCTTAGAATTATCAAACTTAGTCAGCAGATGCATCTTGGGACTCCGAAAAACGTCGACTAAAATGTAGGTCACGATTACCTACTTTTCACATTTTATGGCTATATTTAAGTATCTTAAGTATTTATTGGCTTAGAATAATCAGACGTTGTCAGTTGATGAATTTTGGGTTTTCCAAGAATGTAGACCCAAAAGTAGGTCAAGGTGACCTACTTTTGAATATCTCAGGTATTTATTGGCTTAGAATCTTCCATCTTAGTGTGTCTATTAATGCATCTTGAGTCCTCAGAAAACTTCAATCTTAAAGTAGTTCACTGTGACCTACTCATGGTTTTTTATAGCTTTATTAAATATCTTCAGTTCTAATTGGCTAAGAATCATCAAACTTTGTCAGTTGATGCAACTTGGGTCTTAGGATACTTAGGGTTAGAGGAATCAAATACAAGTGATAGGTTGTACAATTTATCAGAAGAGCGATTCAAGGCCCTTGGGCCTCTTGTTGATAATGTAACCCTTTTGTGTCCTTCAGCTGTTTTTAAATTTTTCGTTTTCGACTGATAGATCTCATTTTAATTTATGTATTGAATTTCGAACTCTTGCTCATCAAAACAATACATAAAATTTGTTTGATTAGATCATAAGAAGTTTTTTGAAAAATTAATGCATTTTCATTTCACAAGAAATTTCAATTTTTAGTCAGCATGGCTACACCATTCATCAAAATCAAAATTGATAAAGAGCATTAAGAATTTTAATGTAGTCTACCTGTGTGCCAAGTTGTGTCCCAAACTAATATAGTAGTAATATCATGAAAGTATTTCACTACAATATCTAGTTTTAGTAACCAAAGAAGGTTACACCATTTATGTAAATCAAATACTGATAAACAGAAATATGTACTAGTATCTTAGTGTAATCTGTTCGTGTGCCAAGTTATATAGAAATCAGACCAAACTGTATGAGGAGTAGCATTCTGAAAAATTGCTTACAATCGCGCAAGTTTTTTTCTGGTGTCTGACAAGTACAGCTCAAAACAGAGAACACAGAACACTAGAGTGACTGTCGTCTAACAAAAACTTTTTACCCACAAACTGGTTTTGAGGCATAAATTCCTTCTTGCTGAACGTGATATAATTTTGCTTACATAAAAACCAAGCAGTAATCAAAATATCTTTATTAAGAAAATTTTTTTTATAAAAAACATGGACGGAAATGAGTGAAAAGTAAAAATAAGCTGCAGATTTCTAAATAAAATAGGCAATCACAACACAATCAATATCACAAACAATGTTATATGGTGGAACATACATGTATACCAAAATGCTCCCCAGATGAATCATTAGCATAATAACCTTAAAAAAATATGAACCTGACATGAAATGAGAACAAAATGGAATTCTGATTGGAATTAACTTGGAAATTGTAATAAATAAATATAAATCATTAACAAATTTTAAAGCAGACGTTCTCAGAGATATAAACAATATGCCAACTTGATGATGTTTCTACAAAAATTTATTGTACTAGTTCATCAACACTTTCTGAAAACAGCACATTTTCAGGTCTCAGTTGTCAACTAAAGCCAACAAGTCTTTTTTATTTGGCATTGTCTTGTCATGGTCTGGTAATATTTAGCATGTCCCTGAATATTGTGTCTCTGTATTTTTTCTCCAATCCAATCATATAGGTCATGTAATTTGATGCGTGGAATCCTGTGATGGCATTCTCCTGAAAAAAAAAAGAATATAAAACTAAGCAATTCAGCTCTATCATGGCAAAATTTTACATTGACGGTAATACTACATTTACAAATGAAACAATGATGCACCCGCAGCTTATGGCAAAGGTTGTATTTTCTCAAATGCAAGTCAAACTCCAAGGTCAAGATCAAAAGGTCAAAATTCAAAATCAAGAGGCAGGTCTTTTCGCAAGGAATACACTTGTGAAATATGAAAGCCCTTGTTCTAAGTGTTCAAAAGATATGGCCAAGGTTAAAGTTTTTTTTATGAAGTGGGTCAAACTACATGTATAATGTCATAGTCAAAAATATTTATACCAAATGAAAAGTCTTGTCACAATGAATACATGTAAAGTATGAAAACCCTGGCACAAACTGTTCAAAAGTTATGGCCAAGATTTAAGTTTTGTATTTTTTTTGTAAAAGTGGGTCAAACTCCAAGGTCAAGAGGTCAAATTTGGTGCACTCAAAGAAAGGGTCTTGTCACAAGGAATAAACCTGTGAAATATGAAAGCCATAGTCCTACCCAGTCAGAAGTTGTGGGCAAGGTAATAGATTTTGCAAACAAACATATAAACAGACAGACAGATGGACTGACAGGGCAAAAACTATACAGTAAAACTCATTTAGTACGAACACAGATATTGCGAATTCACGGATACAGCGAAGTCATCTGGGATCCCCAGCTATATAAATTTAATGAATTTCTTATACGGTTATAACGAATTTCGGATATAGCGAAGCAATATCATAGGTCCCAGCGACTTCGTTATAACCGAGTTTTGCTGTATACCCCCAAATCTTCAATTATGGGGGCATAAAAAATAATAATGATAAAAAAAAGTACAGTTTTTAGAGAAAATTAAATGTCAATCTCATTATAATGGACAAAACACAACCTCTCTTGGCTAAATTATTTTTTTGTAAATAAGGAAATAAGTACCTTGAGATAAATGATGAGCTCTTGTGTTTGCATGTGTTCCATGATGTTTTTCTGTAGGTGTTTGAGGATGGCACAGCACAGATACACCTGGTAGTCGATCCCCATCACGACACACAGACAGACATACTGACAAATCTCATTCCAGTCCAGGTAGTTCCAAAAACACTGCTTCAGCCAATGAAAACAGATCTGACAAAAAATATCAGTAAAATGATGTTGAAGATAAAAACATACATCTGTCTGAATGGGGGGGGGGGGGGGGGGGGGGGGGGTATTGTTGGGATTGTTAACTAAATGTGTAAAAATAATATCTATCTAAGACTCATGTACAATCCAAGGTTTAAATTGTGTATTTATTTGTTGTTGTAAAAGTGGGTCAAACTCCAAGATCAAGGTCAAGAAGTCAAATTTGGTGGTACCCAACAGAAGGTCTTGTCTCAACTTTCTACCACCCTAAGTACAGTACCTGTGCTGGAGTAAATCCTGACATTTTAAATGCGGAGGCTACAAGAGGAAGTTCTATCTGGAGAATTAGTTCAATGTTGTGACCTGTGCTGGAAAACAGTGGGGAAATTCCACTACACATCAGGTCAGAGGGCAAGTGAACCTGAAAATTCACAAAAAGTAATGAAGCAACTGGTTCATAAGCATAATTCTATATTCAGAACAGAGGCATATACAGAGAGATCAATTTAGCATATTTAAATAGGAAAACTTTTCTACTTCTGTCAGTAGACTTGAATGATAATGACATTTCCTTCACACTTCATTATTATTTTCAAGAAAGTCTTAACCTTTTGAAAATGTAACACTGGATCAGATTCATGGCACATTCTAATGGTGTGCAGAAACTACTACATCTGGATTTTCTTTTGAAAATCACATTCTTTCTGAATTTTACCCTGGGTCATGAACTCATAAGCAATAAACAGTTGAACTTTGGTATCTTGAACACTGATAAAGAGAATACTATGTATATGTTGAAATTATTTGGAAGTCTATAACACTTATATTTATTTAAAAGTTTTACACCTGATTTTCTCAAATCATTAGATACCATACAGTATTTTCACTTTCCTATTGGGTTTGAGATAATAAGGTGTACTAATAAATCTTCTGAAGACTTCAAAGTTAAAAATTCATGGTCAGACCGTGAATTTATAAATTAGACTACCAATGAGCTTGCAGCAGACTTACAGAGCAGTGAAGCCTGGGGATCCAGAGATAGCCAGAGCAGCCTAAGGTAGAGAACTTATGGAGGAAGTTCCAGGACTTCTCCAGGTTACCCCCAAACATCAGAAAGATTGTGGCAGCGAACCAGTCAAAGCCTCCATAGACCGAGTGGAGGTACTCTGAGCATGGAGAACATATTATTACATCAAGCTCAACTAAGATATATATCACTGAATATACATGTATATTAACCAATAAACAGTCTGATTGAGCTTTTCAAGAAAGGATTGGCAAATGAGTTTTTAAAAACAAAATAATGAAATCAGTTGTTCATCACCTACAAGTATAAGTGTAGCTAAGTATACTGAAGCATGCAATATTATTTATATTTCATATACAATATACATGTTTGTATGCTTAAAGACAGTCACATGATTCCACATTTCTTTAAAAACATACAAAGGACAACAACAGTTTGGAATGACCTTACCTATAGAGGAATCGACCCCTTTCTGCTGTTGTTTGAGGTAGTAGGAACACTGCCTCAGAAGCTGAGCTAACCGATCTGTTACATCATTGTGTATCACCTTCAGGTGAAGGCCATACCTAAAAGTCAATGTCAAGATTGGATAAATGTTGATATGAATATTTGGATTTGCAAGCACTGTATTTTTGTCTTTAACAGTAAGGCTTGTGAAGTGTGAAGAATATATATATTTTCTTGAAGTAAAAAATATGATTTGCAACCATAAGTAAATATATCTGTTACTTAATTTTTCTAAGCAATCGGTATTTTCATTTACTAGATCTTGACTTTCAGCATCTATCAATCAAATTTTTTTATCTTTTGTAACGTACACCAAACACTTTACCTTATAGCCATTTTGATGCCATTCTTCTGAAGTGGTGATAGTTTTAGACCTTTTAAAGCACTGTCTGTACCTTTAGAATGAAAGAAAAGTAGTAAATTTAGCCTTGTAACACTACAATTATTCTTATATCTGGGATTAGGGTTTGAAGTGTCAAATTTACATGGATACATCAGAATGTGTACATTGAAAAGCATTATACTTTATTAAGGAAAAAGATTTCTATCACAACTGTTATATATCAAGAATTCTTAATCATTTTAATACTTAAGCATTGAATTAATATTTTGGGATGTCTTCTGTCCTATAACCATCTGGCCGTGCCAACAAATTGAATACCGCGCGTTAGCATGGTATGATAATTTGTAGGCACGGCCAGGTGTGTTTCAGGACCGAAGACATCACAAAATATGAATTCAATGCTTATATTTACATTCTCTAATTTTTCCTTTTCATAATTGTTTATTTTGGCAATTTTTAATGTGAATTTAGTGCCCTTCAAAGTTAGTGCGCTTTATAGATGAAAGAGCCGTTTGTGATGTTTGTGACGTTGCAAAGTTAAATAACGCAAACGGAACATTGCGAGGAAAAAAGTGACGAATTAATTTTAAACGCACATTTGTTGTATTTTTACAATAATTTAACAGGGTAAATTTTTTTTTACTTAATTGTGTCAAAACAATGTACATTTTGGTGTTTCTAGAGTATTGAAAATGCATATAGTTCCTACTGTGTATTCTAACGCGCGGTGACAAGGTTTCGCATGTGTTATAGAGATTTGAACGTCGTGGATTTCTAATGGATTTGATAAAGAAAATAACACTGAATGTAAATATTTATCTCTGAAATAAAAATACTCAACAAAAATATTGACTTTTAATATTGGAACAGAATAAAGTTATCAAAAATGGTGTTGATTTAAAAGTTAAAGTTTGATGTTACAAAAACTTAAACCTGAAAAGATGAATTATAAAGAAACAAAAAGTTGCAACAGTTTTTGTTATCACAAGGTTGTGCAAATCTTAAATTATCAATAACAGTGTTGGCCTGTTGGCCTCAGTCTGTGATAATAAAATGTGGCAAATCTGTGGCAACCTTGAGTTAGCCTACCACTGTTGCCACTGCTGGGGCGTGAACGGCGCCCATAACACCACGGCTCTATAAACAAAGGGATTACTGCAAACTTAATGTGGCATGGCAAAATTAAAAGAAAACAGACATGTTACATGTTACAACATTATAAGTACAAATTCAAGAAGTAATTCAGGTAACAATGGGTAATGGAGCAAAGATACTGAATCAAAAATGTACAAGTAAAATTTCTAGAATCTACTTGTCAGACATTTACACAAATTCCTGAAATTGATTTTACTCTGTTTAAAACAGGGAAAAACTAAAGAAACACAAAAGTTCAATATGTTTAAAAAGAAAATATTTCCTTAACACAACATATATTTTACACACATGGGTTTTGGGGGGTGGGGTGGGGGTGGGGGATATCAACCATATGATTCCTACCTGTATATTCCAGTAATGGAAAGACATCCTGAATCTTGGACATAATTGGAACTCCCACCTCTAGTAACTGCTGTAACACTGTGTAAAGAAAAATTCATAGATCAGGAAATAAAGAACAACAATTTCACTCAAAAATTAAGATTAAAAGATCAATCAGAAGATTTTTAATTACATAAATAAATCAATTCAAAACCTTTGTCTAATCTACATTTAATCTATATACACACAGTAAATAATAGATCTTACAAGTGCAGTTTATTGTATAAACTAAAATGTTTATTAATATGTACTCACAATTTCCTTTCAGCATGTCTGGTTTGGATATCAGCATTTTAGAGAAGAGCGTTTTACATTTGTCTAACCAGGCTTGGCCTTTTTCTGGTTTCTTTGCAGACAGGAATTTAGCCAGGTCATTGTCTGTCAATTGAACATCTTATAATTATTAGAAATTACAATTATTATAACATACACTGTATTCAATATTAAATACTTCAAGGACTAGAAATTAAAGAAAAATAAATTTTACAAACCAATAAGAAAATACTGAATTACATGATTCATTCCAATTCCAGTTTGATTATTTACCAAGTTTATTATCTTTGCAACCTTACAAATATTTACCGATATTTTAGTTAAACATATACCCATTGATTTGCTGAAAAAAAATTTGATGATATAGAATACATGTATATCTTTGATGTGGCTTTCTTAATAAATGAAGAACTTGCCATTACTTTTTTTTTTTAAAGTTATATGTGTTAAAAAACATTTCTTATATAAATGATGAGGCCAAATCTTTTTGTGAAATTACTTTCTGTGCCCGTGACCAAATTAAGTGGTCATACAAACAGAAAACCAAAATTACAGTTTACCCATCACTGCACTTCCACGGTGAAAAATGAAGCTAATTAATTATTCAAGAGCAGGCAGGCATGACAGCTAGTTGTTTCAATTTGTATACATTGTATAAAGGTATATGGATATAGCTTTAATTAACTGAAAAGTATAGGCATTCAAGTTCAGCATAGATCAAAAACACCTTTGAACTCATCATCTTCAATTGTTTTTTTTTCCCCTTCAAATTCCGTGAAATATTGAAAAGATGCGATATGTTTAGCAGATTTCAAAAAAATATAGAAATTTTATGCCTGTCTTCAAACTTATTCATGATATATACAATAATTGTAGGCACTGTATGTAAGTCATGCATATATATGTCATACAGGGTGCATGTTCACATGCAAACAGGTGCCCACATACAAACCTTCTTCTTGTTCTGATGTCAAAACAAAAGCTACAAAGTCAAACATTACAATGTACAACAAATAAAATATCCACATGGACTGCATTTCTTCATTGAGCTTTATTATAGTGTTAACAACAAAAATCTATGATGATGATGAAGATACAGTGATGAGGATATGATGATGATGATGAAACAGCATGCTGCACTTCTTTTGATGACCTAAATTAGTATGTATAACCTGGATTTTGCCTAAACCCATATGAATTTTTATAAGTGTGTTTTAAACAACTATGTTATGCCAGTGGCTGTATTAGTACTACATTCATGAATAAATGTACATGTAATTATACTTCAAAGGGACAACAGGTTAGTTCTACATACTGGTCATGTGTGTTAAAGAGTTACATATTTTTAAAATCTCTACCAATACAAAATATAGATAATCTTTCTTAAATAATCACCATCACCATTACTGAACAGAAATTTGCAACCTTTGGAAATCAGTACGAACAGAGTGATCTCCCCCTGACCATAGGGCTCACCACTAGAGGGCATTAGTTCACACAGAAATGAGAAATCTATTGGCTGACCTGAACTTGTAAATAAACCCAGAACTTTTCTCTTCACATCAGACTCTGTATATTGTCAAATATCAAAATACATGTATTTCAATTTTGCTTCCCTTTCACTTTCTCATGACCCTCAAACACTGAATGGATATCAGTATTCCATAATACTTCTAGGTTCAGTAAAATCATTTTAAATCAGGAGACCATTAAACATATAAAGCAAAGCAACTATTCTTTCTTTCCATGTATGTTATAATTATTCATAAATGATTATAGAACATATTTATATTGTATGAAAAAGAGTTAATAAAAATATATATTTTAAGCATTAAATGCATGTATACATAAACTTCTATATTGTTTAAGCATGTAAATAAAACAGTAACACCCATGCATACAATAAAATACAAGATATACACCTCTTCATTTTATACTTGAACAACACAATTAAACAAAATATACAACAAAAGCATGCTAATATGATTATTTGAACCCATACACTGTGCTCTTTATATAAAACATACCTTGTTTGACTGTAGATCTTCCCCCAATACTGGGGACATATTCTCTTGGAACTGGATAGGATGAAAACAGTGGGAATGAAAACACACCACTCTTCTTATTCTGAAAAGCAAAAAAATATAAGATTCATTATCAAGATCTTATTAATTTAACTTGCTACACTGGAGAGTAAGTACCAGTACAACTCTGTAAGAGTGAGCTTTTAAAACTCTGACCTCGTCAATGGTTCTGGGCGGCAGGATTCTCTCAGAGGGTCCCCCTATCAGGTAAGATCTCACCAAAATGTGATTCCTCTCCACAGACAGTAGGTCCAGAATTATATTTTCTCTATAAAACAGAATAAGCTTTTTTTCATGTATAAATGCACAATGTATATACAATGTACTGTACCTGTAAGATAAGCTCAAATGAGATATTATTGATATTGGATGTAATTGATGGCTATCCAAAGAAATAGAGGCATTTAATCATGTGTAGCTTCATATTTGCACAGGAAAATTCTGCAACTACTGCCTAGGTGTATTAGGTACTTTAAAGCAATTCCTTTGCTTTATGAACATGTGCCAAGTCAGGGTTTGACACTAACTTTCAAACTATAGTATCCCACAGGGCTGGCAATTTTAAATTTCTACTAACCCTGTTCATGAATTAGTTGTCCAGTAGCTAAAGGCTGCTGGCTGAATTTTGAGGATGTAGCTATTGGTGTGGGAGGAAGTGTTCCTTTCCTGGTGGTGGGAATATGGGGGCCTCTCTATGTAAACTTTTTAAAATAAAGACCGTATTCTCCGTTTCTACATCATAAATTTTGTAAGACAAAGGTGATAAAGATTTTTACTACGCCAAAACAAGATTGGGTGCCCATGAAAAATATACAGTTCAATTCATCTAACAATGACATGATTTAAAAAGTAAATTAATTCCCTAAACCTCGCTAGCAAATTTCAGATTTTTTTAATTTAATAAATGAATCTTTAAAATTGCATTAAGTGAGTGTATGCATTATCTTAATTTTCATTGGCCCTGCAGGGCAAGCTTAATGACTTGTTCAGTAGCCCGACCTCAGTTTTCAGTTGTCGCGGGCCAGCAGGCTACCGTTAGTGTCGAACCCTGCAAGTTCTGTAGCTTTGTGTATATGAACCACTGTTTTGATTAATGTTCATGTGCTACTGCTTTTCTTTATATGCATTTGCTTCTTCTTTACATCGCAAACTTGTCTTATGTACATGTACTGTTTTCTTTTTTTTTTAAACTTGATCTGCTGCTGCTTACTATATGTACATGAGCTACAGCTTTGCTTTGTGTGCATTTTTTACTCCTTTACGTTATATACCATGTACATGTACAGATGCTTCTCCTCTGCTTTATCTGCATGAACATGTGCTGTTCCTTTGCTTAAAATTGTACAAGTACTACTGCTTTGTTTCATGTGCAAATGCATTTTCTTTGTTTCCTGTACTTGCACTACTTCTTTTATTTTCATATATTATTATTGTGCCTCATCGTTTTGATTCATACAATTGTGTGTTCTTTACTCATGTACATCTTCAACTTATCTTTGTATTCAATGATAACACGACTTATAAACCTGTTTATACATACTTGGGATAATGGTTGTCTTCCTGTGCAGAAAGTAAGACTTCCTGGAAGTTGTACTGGGACTGCAGCAACAGGAAGGTATCAAGACAGCATATCATCACACTCAGTACTCTGTAAGTACAGAAAAAAAAGTTAACCATGCCATCCATGGTTCACACATTAAGAAACAAATTCTAATGCAATTGATTTGTAAAACATGTTTTGATTGGCTAAATCGCCGTGTTTGAAGCAGTAAAATGAGCATTAATGAGAGTGAAAGCTTTTCATTGTGACATCATAATAGAGTGACGCAAAAACACAATGCTCCGTGACGTATTTCATACAACGAAACTCGACAAAATAAGAATTAAACAACAAATAAAATGCACAGATTGCATTAGAATGGGAATAACTATCTTCTAATTTGGTATTTGCGACCGTTAATGCTGATTTAACAGTTGCAAATATCCTTTTACTGGCTCTGCTTACACATCGCCAATAAAACTTAGTTTGCGACCGTTAAATCAGCATTAACAGTCGCGAATACCAAATTAAAAGATAGTTATTCCCTAAATCTTTACACCCCTAAAATCACTGTATAAATATAATTTTTATCATCCATTAATGAATAGGCATGCATACAGTGTCTGCAAATCGATAAATGTGTCATGGAACAAGTTCTGATATTGAAAGAAAATGTCTCAATTCCAGGTAATTAAACTGCCCTTGGACTTGAGAAAAACAAATTTACCTCAATCCAAAAGTGTGACTCTGTTCAAAATTGAACAAGGAATGGATTTTTGCCTCAGAATCTACCATAATAAGACGATCCACAAAGTCCTACAAATACAATGCATAAAATTGCCTTTGTTTAGGGTTTACATGTCAGTATGTACATGTATATTACATCAGGCTGAACTTGCCTTGTTTTTATTCCAAAAAATTCACTGTAACAAGAAACACTAATGTAAAGTCTACAAGTCTGGGTATCTTACTACTATGGTTGTAGGAATTTCCCTAAATCCATACTCTGGTTTGGAGGGAAGAGGTTTGTGGGCCAGAACTTCATACACAGCAGGGAATGCTGACAAAACATTCAGCAGTCTGATCAAATGCTGAAAAAAACCAATGTTATTTGTGAAATACTTTGTCCCTTTAAATAGTGTTTAAAGTCATTTCAACATGATAGTCGCATTGAATCAACAAATTCTGAAGACTTTCACATTACTTCAAAGTATGTCAAAAAGAATTGGTTTTAGGTGATGTTAATTACTGTTTTTGGCCCTATGTACAAGTTATATGTAAAACTCCCAATAAACTGACCTTGTGGGAGGATCTGTCTATGGTGTCCACTGACCAGATTTTGGGGGTAAACAGAGGAGTGTCAGAGGCCCCACACTCCAGAACTGACCACATCTCTGATATCAGTGACTTGATGTAACCTAAAATAGCAAAAGCCATGTACCCGTAAATGATAGTAGTTCAATCTGAATAAGATGAGATAATATAATGAGATAGTAATGAGAAAATATGAGGAACTTCCATAACTGTCTGTTGAAAATGAAACCTTTGCAAAAGTATTAAAATTTATTTAAACTTTTAGGTAATTTGGGAGACAATCTAATCTTCTGAATTTTCAATCCTTTTTGGATGAAAGACAATCATAAATTTTTCCCCTTGTCCATTAAATTGTTAGTAATTTAACAATGAATGCAACGGAAGTTCACAGAGAATGTTTCACTAATCACTCTCGGGTGTTATCATAATAGGTGATAGGCACTTCCATTGAATTTACCTAAGGAAATTTCAACGTTCCGACAGGAATGGTGTTTAAGCAGATATTGTGGGATTCTTAAGAGATGCAGAGTCAATCAGATAGCGTAGACTGAGACAGAAATATATGTAGAGACAGTGTGGACCGACGTTTTAGGTGAAAATGAAATAAATACATGTTTTTAAACCAAGAAAGACCAGTGGGTGTACAACATAAACAAACCGGAGTGGCATACCTTTCTCTCTTATAATGTACAGGGGGGTATTTTTTTGTGGAGCGATTATTTTGGGGGTTTTACGATTTTTTCCTACTGTAAACAAGATGAATAAGTGTAATAAATATAATTTGTGAAAAAAATGTCCAATAAGCCCCTGGGTTGAATGGAGGGGGGGGGGGGGGGGGTTCTGTCCACAAGTACCTGTGAATTAATTTAGGTAATTTGACTTTTTAAATATCCCACCTGTTTTCTGTAGGGCTATCATTCCTGGGGCGGTGGCAGCCACCTGGGTCACCATGTATCCGTAACCAAACTTCTCACACTTACTAACCTACAGTAAATAACCATTCATCTTAGAAAATAGTACCTCAGATCAAATACTGGGAAAACAACTGGTACCTGCTTTGCAAAAGCAGGGTTACGATAAGGTCTTTGTGAAACGATTATTAAATTACATCAGTGAAATAAAAGATCTCACCTGAAGTTTCTTCTCATATCTAGCGTACATATAAGACATACACTCATTCATGGCCCCCGTCTGTTGTAACAAGAGAAGCCCTTTGGCAGAACTGGCAAAATTCAGCAAGTTGTCTCTCAGGGTATCTTCCCAGGCAGTTCTAAAGAAACAACAAAACAATACATCATCTCATTGTCCTAAGCTTTTGCTTACGATTCGTATGTAAAACTTGTGAAAAGAAAAATCTGCAAAGTGACACAGATTATTATACAGTGTCAGATATACCATATGGTGGATATAGTGGAACATATGACTCAGTGGTCACAGGGATAAACAAGTAACCCAAGGATTGCTGGTTGAAGCCTCATCTAAGGATTGCTGGTTCAAGCCTAACACATAGATTGCTGGTTCAAGCCGTGCCAAGGACACTTGATTTTGTGTGTTGTGACCTTAAACAAGGCATATCTGCATTGCCTCTTTCCACTCAACTGCAGTGGACACTGTCTTATGCTGTAAGGTTATCCGGTGAAGGACAGGTGTCCTATCCAGAAGGAGTCAATGGATCTCCTCACAGAACACTGGCTTAATGAGTCACAAGGCTCAGAGAAGGATTCAATTTTCATTGAATATATACTTACATGTCCAGATTGCCATGTCTGGCTGTGACAACAGAGTCTGAATCACTGGAGCTGTTTTCTGAAGGAGTTGGGGTCACCGTTCTCTCTGATTCTCTGAAAGCCTATAAACAAAATAAAATTCTTGAACAAGTTATCCCCCTTGAATGCTTTTACTTCTTTCAAATGACACTTAGTATAGTATAAATTGTACATGTATGATATTTCTATAAATGCAACTAATTCTTTGATCATAACCTGACCTCTTTCCAGACACGGACGATGACGTTATGAAGGTCATACTGATACAGAACCAGAAGCCCCTCACATGTGTTATACAGCTGTCGACAGATGTAAAGGTATGCCCCTATCACGTTCTTGGAGGGAGCAGTCCCTCCATCACGAGGAATTTCTCCAAGCAGGGCTTTCTTTGTGAACTTAGCAATGATATGTGCAGCTGAAGATCTACAAAAACGAAATGTGTCCTCAAATCACCCTGAAGAATATTTCTATTTACATTTGAGTAGTAATTAATACTTACCATCTTGAAATAAAGCAAAAAAACATTACATATTTAACATCAGCAAAGATACTGAAATTAAACATAATTTTGTTGTCTAAATAAGTATCCATGAAAAATTATCTTAAAAACAAAGGTAGACCTCACACTAAAAACAAAATTTGCAACAAAAATTTCCATAAACCAGTACACGAAGATTGTGGTAACCGTATATTTCATCTCAAGCTGTAAAAATTAAGATTTGCATGTACAATAAATATTTACTTGCATTTTTTTATTTTGTCACATGCTTTCATCATATATATTCTGATATAATCTTTCCAACAATGTTACTACTGGCAATACATGTACGACATTAATTATTTAAATTTAATCATCTTTTGACAAGCAACATCTCATGATTCTTACTTAGTACGTGTGAATATGTCCTTGCGTTCTCCGTACATCAAATGTCTCCTGCCTTTTGTACTGGACGCTATCATTGATACGATGTCTGCTATTTGTAACAGAGTGCTCTCCCCTGGAGAATTGTGCTCCTATCGATTGAAACAAAATCGTCTTACTTTTGTACATTTCAAGTTAATCATAAATATAGAACTGATTAGAAAAAAAAAAAAGCTAAAGAAAAATGATAAGAAAATGAAATTCGCTAAAGAAAAATGGTAAGAAAATGATTTCTTCACGATTATTGAAATGATTCAATTGATGCAATGCAGCAAAAAGAATTTGATTGATATTAAATGAATGAAAGCCAGGTATTAGTTTACACAACGAATGATAAATGAATCAGGTTGGAATGAAATATGTGAATTTTATAAGATGCAATTAACATCATGCAATTTTAATGACTTGTAGAAGTGAAGCAATATACATAAAAATTAAGAACACAACAAATTTTAAATACATATTCAATACCTACATGTAAAATATATTTACATTTAAATTTGTTATACACATATTTAAACAAGTGGATGATGCCCTTATTTGTTTAGCAAATATAATTATTAAAGCTAGTTTATTTTTATTTCAATACAGTGGGAAAAAACATTCCTAAAAAAAAAAAACGGGAAAGGTTTGGCCCCTAGTTTGTGAAAGTAATGTTGGAGGAAATTAGTGTTTTTTTAAAATATGGTGGGAATTTTTGGAACTGAATGACAATCTTGGCTTGGATAAAATATTTTGGGGGAGATGGGAGTTATCTAGGGAAGCTGAAATGTTCTCTTTAAAATGATATTCAAAGGAATACATAAACAAAACACAGCATTAGAAAACTGTTCAGATTTTTAAATTTTAGGATAATAACTATCAAAATTATAGCTGAAAACATGTCAGTTTCTTGGGAATATAAATTCAAAGGCAAAAGGTTCAGGAGTTCTCAGGAGTTCATTCTTTTTTCCTAGACTTTCTGGATTCAATCTCACCTCAAAGAAAGAATAATCACTTTCTGGTCGCACAAGCTATAGAATATGAAAATATTCGAAAATTTGACAAATTACCTCTACACATATTTTGATATATCTTTTTCTACTGTATGAATACATTGCAACTATATACATGTAAACATGTACATGTATTATAACTTTAGTATCAACCATTCTATATTATACATCAATTTGTTTTGTAAACATAAATCCAGCCAAAACAAGAGTTTCTCTGATATAAAAGTAAAGCTTATTAAACGTAGCTCCCTATAACGGTCTAAATATAAAGTTAGCTTGTTCCAGACTAACTACTGATAACACCACTGTTATTTTACAAGGCAACCATAAACCAACCAGCTGTAAAAGATAGTACATGCACTGTATAATGAATACCATGGAAACATGCAAATCAACTTACAACTTCCTCTCCTTCAGATTCTGTTTTGTTACACTGGATGAAGAATGAGAACAATTTGTAATGATTAAAATGTTTCAATGAGTGAACAAGAAACCATACTGATGTCTCTTCATTTTAACACATGTATATGATGTCTATGATGCCTCCTTGTATAGGTACCTTTGAATGTTGATTATGAACAAATCTTTAGGTCTTATCCTTTGGAGGCTATTTTAACCTCCTTGTAAAAATAAACCTAAAACCTCGAAGTGAAAACAATAAATGGTTAACATCATAAATGGAAGAAAATGGTATTAAATATTACCCTTTTTCACAGTAAATTGAGTAAATTAAGTATTCTTAATTCTAGGATTTAAGCTTCATGCTCAGAAGTTTTAAGGATGCAATAAGTATGCACACATTGGTAATTCAACACATTTTTAACAAACATGTATGATTATGGTAAAGAAAATGTAATCATAACTTAAACTGAACATAGGCAATATACATATTGAAGATTCAATATACATGTATGTTCTAAACCTGTAATGAACATATGATTAAAACATGTGATTCTAATGTAAGTTATGAGAGAGGTCAAGAAGAAATTTTGAAACAATGGCTACAAAGAAAAAAGACTCAAGCATGATTTCTTGCTATTGAATCAAACTAATCCTTGATATGGAAAAAAACATAGTTACCTGAGCATCGAGGAACTGAGATACGGGAGACAGAAGAGCCGTGGTGATCTCGTCCTTATACAGACATATCTCAGCAGTCTGCTCATGGCTACACAGGATCTTTAGAATCTCTGTCACCAGTGTAGCAGGTTCATAAGACACTACGTAAAATTGAAAGAACAATAATGTATAACTAAGCCCTGAAATGCACATCTCAGAGAGCCAATCTCTGACCAACTTGTATCTGTAAGACATATTTCATACAATGCGTCATACTGTAAAACGAGAATATATGGCGCACTACTAATTTTAGCGCCTTTGGCTCAAGAGCCCCTGAATGCTAAAATTTATCAAGCGCTAACGGATTTCTATAAAAAATTATTTTTGTGTGTGTTCAAAGCATTCACATATATATTGTATAAGTACATATAAACCGGAATGTGTGATTACGTAATGTCGAAAGGTTACTGGATTTTTATAAACACACTAGCACTGTAGGATCGATCAAGAAAGTTCTGCCAAATTATAATTTAATTAAACTATTGCTAGTTGTTACCCAATACTTATCATTAGCACCTTCAAAGTTTGGCTTCTCGGCATGTCAATCATCTATCACCTCAAGGTAAAGAATGCAATCAAGCATGGCGATTGAGTTTGCAGACATTAATACCTGATTATGTTTACTGTTTATCCAAGTAACTTTCTTGAGATGTTTTCTTATGAATAAAATGTGTAAATACTCCACATTTTCTTATATTAAAAAATAATAAAATAAAATTGACGTTGTACCACGACCATGTGATTGCAACACCATGGTACAGTTGACGAATGATTACTTATATACGTTTATAGTGTTATTGTGTTCCCATGCTTGAATAATCAAAAAGTCAAATAAGGACGTGGATAAAAAAAACAATATCCATATTTATATATTTTAATGAAAAGTGCAAGTGCTAAAATTTATTTGCGCCAATGCATTCCCACTAGCGTTTGCGGTAAAATATGTACATGTATGCACCAAATTTTCTCGTTTTACAGTATAATACTTATGTTACAATGTTTTCCATATTTGTTGTATGATAAGCTGTAATTATACATGTAGGCAATTTAATCACTGTCTTTCAGATTACTGATATGAAATGATAAGAATAGCAATTCTTGAAATACAGCAAAATAAAATTTAAAGTTTATTTCACTCACAACTATGAGCTCTAGGCATTGTAAAAGAACTTGGATCCACCACAACCAAAACTAAAGAGACCAGCAACTTCTTAATGGTTATAGGGTCTGTAGATAGTAAGTACATGTTTAAAAGAAACCAGTATAACCAATAACATTCCATTAATAATCATCATCAAAATCATTTTAAAATTAAATCATGTTAAAGTATTTTCAAAAGCTTTACATGTAGTATGTAATGGTAACTGAAAACAAAAATTAAAAGTTTGAGGCCAAACTTGATGTCTAAGATTTTTCTCCATACATCAAATACTGGTATATGGTTTAATATATATATCATACATGCCTTCTGAATCTTTTAGCTTGATGGGGAAAAACTTGCGACCATTTGTAAAACATAGCAATCGACCAAGTAAATGAACGGAATGAATGAAATAAGCATATTCCAACTCTGCTCCTGCATAATAGTTTCTTCTGCCACCTACAAATAAATAAAATACACTATAATTTCAAAAACAAAGTCTAGGATCATATTAACCTTAATGTTCATATGCATTAAAAGTGAAATAAAAAGTTACTGATACAATGTATTGTAATTTAAAACTAATTTTATTTGTTAATGTCAGAGTGAATCCATTTAAGAAGACAGCTTTTTTGATTCCAATATTAAAAATTCACTAAAAATGAGATGAGATAAACACCTCCAACAGTAATCTTTGAGTATGTGTCTGAAAAATCACTCATCAGGTCAAAGGGAAGTTTACGATTGGCCGAAAAATCCAGACAATGACGCACAGCATTAACAACCTACAAAATGCATCATTTTCACACACACTCAAAAAAAGAATTTATTGTGATGATTGTGTAACCATTTTATGATCATAAAAGTGACAATAATTCAGCAATAAGGAATTAATAAACTTTAAAATTGAAATTGTATTACAAAGCATAATTTGAAATGAAAATTACTAAATTACTTTTTCTATACATAATATTGTACAAAATTCTTTATGCTGAGGTTTTCTGACTTATAGAAATGGAATAATGTTACTCACAATTGGTCTATACTTTTCTAATAACTTCAACAATCTATGACGACTGTAATTGCCATGCTAAATAAAACAAAAATAGAAAATGAAAAACTCTAAAATTCTATTGCAAAGCATTTGAACAAGTTTCTCTTGAACACATCCTGTACTTCAAACAAGTTTGTTATTTGCTGATAGCATGTAACATATTCCAGTATTTTGAAGACTGCTGTACAGTACCGGTATTTGGGTCTAGAAATTATCACATGTATGCATATTGTTCTTTTCAGCAAATAAGAAACTACTATATTTAAAAGTGCTTACTATTTAACAGAAATAAATGAGTCATATAGCTAATTCTAAAAAGAATCTTTTCTCATAACATTTACAAAATATCTACAGCATAGCAAAACTGACCATCCACTTGATGAACCATTGTGCCTTGGGGTCAATGAGTGCAATGAAGTGAATGGGAGATAACTGTGCCGATGTTCCTACTGGGCCGCCCATCTGATGAATGGAAAACAGGTTCAGAGTACTCTCCAGAATTTCCTCTATGTATCTGAAAATTATAAAGGCATCAATTTTAAACAAACATGCAAACTTGATTTTCTCTAGATGTATCTGAAAATTATAATAACCGAAACTCTTAACACACATGTAAACTTGGCTTCCTTTTGATATATCAAAATTATAATTATGACCAAAATTCTAAACAAACACATAAACTTATTATTGTTGATGTTTATTTACCCAGAAATTTTTCTTTTGCAGAAAAATATGTGACATGATTTACACTGAATACTAACCTGTCTGGATAGCGTATCCAGTAATTTGTTGTTTCCTGTTGGAATTCATTCAACAAGCGAAACTGAAAATAAAAATAAAACACTGTTTGACGACTCTTTTAATCAAGACAACTGTGTTTGGTAACATTGTAGCTTATATCATGCGTGTACTCTCAGTT